CTTCTTGTCATCAAAGTCAAACTGCAGGCAAGTCTCAGACTTTTTACTGAACACTCGGATAACAGCGTAAAATCACTGCATACCAAATATTATTATATTATTATATTTTCAACCTCGGATATTGCATTTGGAGTGTTCTGATTGGTTCACTTAACCTCGGTTAGCAGCTCATATACCGAGCATTTCTCAAATTTAGAGTTAAAAAAAAAAACCGGAACTAAGGGAAATAGCGTTAAAAAAATCTTACCGTTTGGGCCACCTACGACGTAGTCCCACTCTGAGAGGAAAAAAAAAAAATGATGACAAAGAGTTTATAAAGTGTAAGGTACAGTACGTCAACGGGAATTCTGTGAAAATGTCCCCTCAAAAGTCAATAAGGATACAATTGCTGATTTCATATCCTCCACCGCGAACCTTGGAATTTTTTAGGAGTTACGGTTTTTTGGAAAGACTGAGTTTTAATCTAATTTTGTAATTCGCAGATTACTTTTGGACCCTCAAAGTCCTATTTAAGGAGTGAATTTCTAACACTGACCAGATTTTTCTTCGCTAGCCAGCTACTGCACCACAGATTTCTGGAACAGACATCACCGTACTTGCAACACCTGAGTTTCTTGATATCACAAAGAAAACTTAAATAAAATTATATCCAGAGATTTGACATCTTTGTTTAACACATAATTAAAAATGTATGCAAATCCCAATCTTATTACTTTTCGGTGTTTTTTCTGTAGAGACGCAAAACTCATGAACGAAATATGAAATCATAGACTTTCGCGTAGGTCACGTAGGAAAGATCTCGGAGGTCGTAGACCTCAAACAAATATCAAAATCCACTTTTGAGCAACGGCGAAAAGGAGGGAGAGAAAAAACGTTTACATTATTTATAAGTACATATATAACAAATGGCAAGAATCGTATTAAAAAGTATGGATTCTTACCGGCGCTGAAAATAAGCGGCACCAAGCTAACGCAGAGGAACACAGTCAGAAGAAAACGATCCATAATTATCCTCAATCTGAAGAATAAAATACAGAAAAGAAACATCACGAGAGATCTTGAAAAATTGAAACAAGTACAGGAAAATCGTATACAGTCTTAGAAATAATGTGAGGAAAACTATAATGCCAAGGTCCAAACAGATATTTGTCCAGACTTGCTTGGTTTTCGCTTTGATTAAACTTTTTCTTGGTTGAAAAAAATAACCCGAAAACATTACTTTTCGAAGATTACATTATATTATTCAAACCTCTCTTCGATTGAAAAAAATTTAAAATCTAAGGGGATTTGGCGGCAGGTAACAGTGTCCGGTTGACAGAGCGAACCGTGGAAAACTTCACCTGATGCACTTTAAATTTAATGCAAGCGCATTTATATGCAGTCGCTATTTAATATTTACTTACATACGGGGAATGTTTTATTTTCTTCTATATCAATGAGCAGAAATTTTTTTAGCCGGTCAAAGAAAAACATCCCATGGGGTGCTTCTAATATCTTAAATTGTAGTCTCCTTCGAAGCCGTTGTTTGGGCTCGTCACGCAACGCTCCCTCCCCCACCAAACAACGGCTGCGAAGGAGACTACTTAAATTGCCGACTCATCGAAAGATTTATTTTTATTTTTATATTATTACCTCAAACGGGTAGTGCGTAAGTGAGACTATATTTTATTTGTGTACATTAAAACTACTTAATATGTTAATTCCATAAACCACATAACCCGTCAAAATCCGTTCAATCGTGTGGTCATATGTTCATTACATCAACTGCAACTCGAGGAGGAGATTAATCACTTTTGTAACTGGGCTTCAATGCAGGGATATGCACTTGTGTTATTGGGGGATTTAAGCCTTGATAGTCTCCGCCCTGATAAGCCTGAAGGCAAGTTGTTGATTGATACAGAGGAGACCCATGGACTTGAGTGTGTAATTACGGAGCCAACTAGGATTCAAACTAGGGCTGGGAAGACTACCAAGACCCTCATTGACGTTACCTTGACTAATGANGCCTATTGTAGCTAGATACTCCAAGAGTAGTCAGTGCGTCAGGGTGTTACGGTATCAAAAGGAGAAATTGCGACTGAACAAAAGCTTACCTCGAAACTGCCGAGCCGTGTTTGTGCAGCAAATAAAGAAGTTTGATGGAGTGGGAATTGAACTTGGAGTGTGAAAGACAAATGAGCATTAATAACACTGATAGACCGCTACGCCTGATAAAGACTTATTGTTCTAAAAATATCGACATATTTTGACTGGATAATCGGGACGAACTTGTTATGGCGTGTCAATCACTTAACTTTCAGGTTTTACGTGTAAATATTCAGTTGTAAGCTTATCTTTTCTGAACTTTCCTTCTTTACCCCATCGTTAAGAAACCGAATAAAGGATGAGAGTTTCTAAAGAAACAATGGTGCTGCGCCGGTGGCGGTAACAAGGTCATTTGGTTATATCAACTAAGTTGAAATTGTAAATTGGCCACCGTAACGAATAAAAAAGCTGACGTTTCGAGCGTTAGCCCTTCGTCAGAGCGAACTGAGTTAAGAAACTGAGCCGCCAAACAATCTTTCCGGGAACCTTGTAATGCGCATGCGCATGCATGGCAGGAGGTAATTACTTTTTGTTAGTCGTACTTCATTCACATCGGAAAACTATATTTAGTTGACTGGAAAAAAAAAAAAAAGGCGCATGGAAGACAATAGCGAGGTTTCTGCTGATATCTGAACTTTGCTATGCCGTGGTCTTAGTTAGAGTTGTTATTTATAAGTTTTTTCCAGTGGTGTTTCTTTTCATAACGGAAACACTGCTCTTTAATTTTACGCTTTATGTTCATCCTTACTCGGTATAGATCCAAATGTCGATTTACAACGAAGAGGTTAACTCAAAAAATATACTCCGAATTAGACAAAAAAATTTTTATTAATTTCGAATCGCACACTGAACGGTTTTAATCGGTTCGAAAGTCCACAAAATGTCGTTCACACTGATGGTGGTAAATAGTTTGGATCACTGTTTGACACTTTAAATACAGCACCAAATCATAAAAACAAGATTCCGTTGGCTTAAAAATTATAGTAGAGACAATAACGAATCAATAAGGCTGGTGTACACAGTACAAGGAGAAATCGGGAGATTAGCAGCGTAGTCATGTTTTTTCAGTTCTACAAAAAGGAACCTTCTTCAGAAGTCATGTTTAGATGGCCGTTTTTGTCAAATGATCAGAAAGGTTATCTTTTGGAGGGCTTCTTGCGGATATAAGCGATATGAAATTTGCTGCTGTTTTCTCCTTCAGTTTCTTCCAAGAGTGTGTGCATACACCAACCTTATTTAACAAAAATCCCCTGTCATTGATCACAACCATATATCTTAGGTGATACCACACATTAACTGTACAGGAAGTCTTAGTCAATTGGCGTCAGGTGTATGCGAAGTAGCCATCTTAATTATAGAATAGAGCACCGATTAACATCAACAGCAACAGGCCCGTGGTCATCTTGACACCAGCTGCTGAATCAGCAACCGTCGGAGTTTCTGTGGCAGGTGAAACATCGAAGCTCGCATACACAGTGCGTATGTTAAGGGCCTGGGTCGGGTGGTAGTTCAACCCAATGTAGTCAGNGTGGAAGACTATCCATGTGACAGATTCGAAACATCCCGGCGTTGTTAGGGAGCCTTGGTACCTGTAGAACTTGCTCGTGTTGGATGGGAAAAGAGGAGAGAGAGGAAAAGCTGCAATGTTTACAGTTGTGCTTGTAAAATAATAATAATAAAAAAGATGAGAATTGAAAAAGAAAAGTCACTTGGGTATGATAAAACGAGAGACCCTGCCGCCTTCTCCGAAAAATCGTCGGGATTTAGGTTAAGAGTATGTATGGAAGAGATTTCAAGAGTTGAGGTACAGAGGAGAACCTCTCTCCTTCCACGGAAAGTCGCCTCAAACCACGAAATTGACTGACTCTCTCTATTTGATCTTCGTTTCCAGAAGTAACGGGCATGTGAAAAAGAAACCTAATATACCTAATATGAGTGAGTAACAGAAGAAATAGACTTACTTTCGTTAACAACTTTTAACGTATAATTGAGGAATTTGTCGTAAGCAGAATTTGCACTTCCCACCTGAAAGGGAAAGATATTATAGAAGGTTACATCATATAAATATCGAACATTGTCAGAATGGGTCGATTTATTCCTAAGGAATAATTATTAGGCTAACTCGAGAATTCATTTTCACTCACTCTGTATTAGCTATTGGAAATCTAATTTCATATCTCCATATCTAAATTGTTCAGTCTACGAAGTTCACACAATTGGTTCAGAGAAATTAATTATGAAATCACGATTTCCTGTGTTATCAGTACTTTCCCGTTGTTGATCTATCGTTTTGGCAAATGTTCCTTTTAGAAATTGATGCTGAATCTGTACGAGATAAAACAGAGAACAATTAAGGGAAATTGAAAAACATTTTGAAACACCACGTGAATCTAAAGGGCACAAATATGTAGTAAAGACGACAGTACATAGACTTTTGCCCTTGAAACGAAAGAATTAATTTTCAGATTTAAGGCCATGCCTGCGCACAAAAGTTTTAGGACTCCTTACTTTTGTTACAACCTCTAGACTGGAACTTCTACATAATTTGGTGCGCGATTGTAACATTAGTTCACGTTTCTCTAGGTCTTTGCCGATTCTCCAATGTTATGCCACTGAAGATTCAGTTGCGAATGATCTTTATATCCTATGCATCCCGGCGCATGATCATGATGTAGCACTCAAATACCTCCATGAAGATACCAAGGACAGCCAAACCATCAGACTGCGCAGCGGCGTAGGTCAAGTTTGGGTATTTGACATTGGAGTTGACAAAATGGATCTGAGTCAAAGGAACGATCAGGAATGTTAGGTGAAATGTTGGTGATGGTGCCCATAACTTCCCCTTCCTTGGCATGTATTCGTAAATGAATCTAACCTCCCCCTCAATGCCAAGATGAAAAATTTGTCTGAATGCTATTAATAGAATTTCGGCTTCTTGAATGCTGGATCTACATGAAAGCCTTGAATGCGAGAGTTATCGAACAGTTTATAACGTCAAGTCTTTCATTAAGAAATGACAAATGCGAGTTTGCAGAGAAATTTTCTCTGTACGCACCTCAGCAGCAAAATGTTCGCCATTCAGAGTGCGCTCTGAACCTTTTCCATTGTCGGGTCCCCAATGAAGGTGAAATTGAGTTGCAGTGTGGTTTCCAACGAGGCCTTCACCATTGACGAAGAATATTTTATCTGGTAGGTTTATCTTTAGAGCAGAGCCAGTGTTCTCTTGAGTGAACTTAGCAGAGAGTGTACTTCCGTAGTTTTGCAAGTTCCAGGCTGAGAACGACTTGTAGGTTGCATTGGTCAAGGAAATGTCTATGGGAGATTGGCTTTTCCCAGAGGCGCAGTCGCCTGTCCATCTCAACGGACCTAAAATGGCAGAGAAAGTTTAGAAATTTGACACAAGAAAAGTGTAATAAACGTTACTCAAGGGAGTGGGTTAATAAGTACTAAGGGGCCCTTTTCTTTGTCAAAAAGGGAATAATGTTAAAGTAGTTATGGATAGCCAGTCATGTCACCAAATAACAGTGGGGCGATGGGTTGAAGTTCCCTTCATTTNGTGCTCATATACGTCTCATAACCGCAGTTCACACATATGTTTCATATGTTTGTTGTTGTTTGATTTATCATCTACGGGTTTATATCGAATTAATTTGATGGCCTGCTCCCAGTTGGCTTGTTAGCTCAATTGGTAGAGCGCTGCACTAGTATCGCAGAGGTCAGTGGTTCGAATCCCGTACAGGCCTGAAATTTTTTTCAGGTCTGATTTTCACTATTGCTCAAATAGTGCTTTACTGCGAAGGATCGTGCTCATATACGTCTCATAACCGCAGTTCACACATATGTTTCATATGTTTGTTGTTGTTTGATTTATCATCTACGGGTTTATATCGAATTAATTTGATGGCCTGCTCCCAGTTGGCTTGTTAGCTCAATTGGTAGAGCGCTGCACTAGTATCGCAGAGGTCAGTGGTTCGAATCCCGTACAGGCCTGAAATTTTTTTCAGGTCTGATTTTCACTATTGCTCAAATAGTGCTTTACTGCGAAGGATCGTGCTCATATACGTCTCATAACCGCAGTTCACACATATGTTTCATATGTTTGTTGTTGTTTGATTTATCATCTACGGGTTTATGTCGAATTAATTTGATGGCCTGCTCCCAGTTGGCTTGTTAGCTCAATTGGTAGAGCGCTGCACTAGTATCGCAGAGGTCAGTGGTTCGAATCCCGTACAGGCCTGAAATTTTTTTCAGGTCTGATTTTCACTATTGCTCAAATAGTGCTTTACTGCGAAGGATCGTGCTCATATACGTCTCATAACCGCAGTTCACACATATGTTTCATATGTTTGTTGTTGTTATCTTGTTGCATAACTCATCACTCCACCGATTAACATATTTAAATGGCGAGTTATGTAGCCACGTGTGTTCCGTAACATTAGGCATCGTCTAGGAGCCTCTAAACAGCGAATAAAAATGAAATCTAGTTTCCCACGAAAAATTATTTTGACTTAAGTTTTTCAAACAGAGTCGCGCCAGGAGGCTGTTAAACTTGGAAGGCTTACTTTTCGGCATTTTCCATTAGCTTACAGTTGATCAACGGCTTTTAATCTTTTCAGCCAAATGCAGATGTCTATAGAGTTCACTCTTTTCAAATTGAGCAGCATCGCCAGCTACGCAGGCTATAGATTAAATGTCACTAACCTCTAGAATTACTCACTTCCTATCGCTAAATTGCTCAAAAATTAGAATTTTACCTCGAAAAAGAGCTCATTTTGGTGTTCCGCTCCTTGTGTCCGACGTGGAGGAGGTGCAAAGAGAAATGCAATAAACTGATTCGCGTCGACGTCTTTTATCGTAGAGTGTTCACGCGTCATTTACCTTGTTCAGTCTTCCAATCATTATTTACGACTGTAAACAACACGGCACCCTAAGGAGTTGTTTTCTTTAACAACCAAAATAATTTGAGCGGAATTAGTGCAGGATATTATATAAGTGTTTACATTACAGGACAAATCTGGTTTTACGAAGAATCACAAATCAGCTGTTATGCGAAACGCAGCTCATTTTTCAATGGAATACAGATTTTAAACAATTCAAAGTGCTGGATGAGTTCTGACTCTCACATATGGCTTCGTTTCCTGGTAAATTAATCAAGTTGACACCTTTTGATGATGAATTTGTCTATTTTCCTTATTATTTTTCCTTGATAATGTATCGATATTGTTATGAGAAGTTACTCGTTCATCACTTGCGGAAGTTAAACGACTAGTAGATACAGTGTTTAAATTTCTACCCTGGCTCGTGCTGTTCTCGTTATTGTTTTTGCTCCCAACGAGAAACTTCGACATGTTTGCTAGGGTTCGCACCTATCATGCGGCTTTCTTTGTACGTGTGGACGAAAGGCACACTTGGCTAGTCAAAAGCTTTTTTTAACGATTCCCCAAATTTTGGCATTCCACTAAATTTTTAACTTTGGAAAACATCTCAAGAAA